GATAAATATAGGCTTTACTGGTTTTTCTGCTCTCAAGACTGGTTTTGTGATGACCAATGTTTTTGTGATATTATTATGATCTTTTTTTCTCCCTTGAATCGTGACTATATATATTTGTTTAATTTAATTACAGGATGGCACACGTGGCAGAAAAGCAGGGTATATGTAACTTTATGTAACTTGAGCATGAGTTGTTTAGCAACTTGAGCAAATTATTGTTTATATTATTTCACTCCTTTCACTGAATTACTAATCCTTTGTCTTCTGGGAATACATTAGGATGATCATCGTCATCTCAACCAGTTCATTGCCCATGCTGCTCTTGACCTAGTGGATGAGAACATGTGGCTTTCTAACAACATGTATTTGAAGACTGTGGACAAGTTTAACGAATGGTTTGTTTCTGCTTTTGTCACAGCTGGGCATATCCTTCCCTATTCTCTACCCTTATATTCCTATAGGAAAAGCTTTTTGCCAGAAAGACATAAAATGAGTCTGGAACAGATTTTCTCTGGCTATTCACTGTTATTTTTAGAGTCACCAGCTTCAAGAAGAAATATGTTGGGAGGCAACATATTTCAGCACAGCACAGCAGCTGTTTCAAATTGGGAACAATTGGAAGGGTTAATTTTTACTTTTGGAGGAGCTGAAATAGCCTAATGAAGTGTAGAGCTCACATGGAGTAGAGGAAAAGTATGAGAGGGTCTAAGCAAAGCTCATATGATTCTCTGTTCCAACCCTTTGATTTTGTGCTAGAGAGAAGAGGTGGGGATGAATACACTTTGTGTCAATGACACCAGTCATAAAAATGCAGCATCGAGGCTTGATCTTATGTACAGGTAGTCCTAGAAGTGTTTGTGGAGAAATATTTGTTATACATAGCAAGTAATATTGAATGTAATTTTAACTTTGGGGTTTATGGTAAAGTTTCAGAGAGCATCATCTACATTTAGAAATATATAGCTTTAGAAAGAACAACCTTGAATAGAGTGGTGATTATTTTCAAATAGGGTAATTTTAAAATAAAAAGATAAAGCTTTTTAAGTGTCACTGCTTCAGTTACTTCTTTAAATGTTTCCTCCTGAGAGTCACTGCTATTTCATGTACAACCAAACATTTTAAGTATATTAAGTATATTAAATATATTAAGTATATTAAGCAGAATTAGGTGTAGGCGTAAATGCTTATCTCAGGGTATGTTACATATCTCTCTTCTTCTTGAAAGTTCTGTTTTCCTTAATTGCTGTACATATGAGATTTATAATGCTTCATGATGTAAGGCTAGAAGATGGAATTAAGAACTTCTTTAATGATGTATATGAGTTGTATATAAAGGTAAGAACCCACTTCTTATGGTCTTGCTGCAGTACTTTTAAGCATGTTCTACTGTACATGATCAGGCACACGTGTTTTAGCATGTTTTCTCATGGGGGCCTGTGTAAGTGGAGAAGCACCCATGCACATCAGCCACAGTTGGTAATATGTGGCACAACGTGCTTTGTTTTGCATTAAACAGAATAGATGTTTCTCAGTTGTTATAAACTGTGCTCTTTCAGAACTTAGTCTTCATTTTAGGCTAGTGTTCTTTTCATGGAATAGAATGGTTTGGGTTGGAAAGGACCTTAAAAATCACCTCATTCCAACCCCCTGAAATGGGCAGGGATACCTTCCACAAGACCAGATTGCTCAAAGCCCCACCAAGCTGACCTTGAACAGTTCTAGGGATGGGGCGTCCACAGCTTCTCTGGGCAGCAGAGAAGTTGGGAGGCATTTTGGGGCAGTGTTATGTCATTAATGGTGATAAGAAAATGAAAGGACTGTTCTACAGAGCCTGGTGGCAGTGCTTCACTCTCAGCACACATAGCCCTGTTCTCACATCCCAGCGGCATTTCCACTAGATGGGGTAATGGCAAAGTGTCATGGGAAGCATCACCATCTCAGTCTCCTGCAGGCACTCAAATTATGCTAATTTCCTGGAGAAATTTCAGCTGGTGTTGTGATGGATTTGTTCTGAGCAGCTGGTGCTAGGGGATGGCTCTGCACATACATGGGGAGAATGCAAGGGCTTGGAAAGACAGACTGTTTAGGAGTTCTGTGCTCTTAGTGGCACTAAATAGGCCAAAAGCTTGTAGTAGATTTCACCTGAAGTGGCATTTTCCAGGGCTGGATTTGTGCTTATTGGTAAGTTTTTTTTTTCTTTCCCCAGTTTGCAATGAATCCATTTTATGAACTCAATTCTCCTATTCGATCTACTGCCTTTGAAAGGAAAGTCCAGTTCCTCGGGAAGAAACATCTTTTAAGCTGAATAAATAAATTTGCTGAGTGAGTGTTTTTTTTCATACTTTCCTGACTCTTTGAACTATTACTCTTCTGGTTAGTTTCCTGCATGATTGATATTCATCTTCTGAAGACTGATAAATTGGGTGCTGAAGGAGCTTTTTCTTTTTGACGGTACAGATAAGAACAGCCAAACTCCTCTGGTTAAAATACATATCTTAAGAAGTTTTAGAACGTGAGAGGCTGCGCAGGTACAAACTGAGACATTTGGGTGTCAATGCATATGCAAAGTGTAAGCGTCTTACACAGGGTGGGAGGAAATCAGATCTAAATGCAAAAGATGTCTCCAGCCATCTGATTTAATATGAGTAAATGGGAATTCATGTTTGGCCTAAGTGGTTAATTTTGTTGTGAACTTTGCTACTTGCATTCCTTCACTAGAAAACTTACTCTGCAGAGTAACCAGACTAACCTTACACTTTGTGATAGTAAATCAGGTCTCTATTTATTAATGTGTAATTGTGTGTATATAAAGTGCTCAGTAAAAATAAGAGGACAGATAGAAAAGCTGTCTCCAGTATTTCAAGAAGCTTTGAGAAAAAACTTAAAAGTTTAAAAGCTTATAATTTCAAATTTACCATATGTTTAGTGCAATACATGTTTAGCTGCAGTATTGCATCAATGAAATGAAGTAGACCAGAACAGCCATGTCTGCCCTGACATTAATTCCAATTCACACCCAAAAACCCCCTAAACTAAATTTACATGTTTAAACCCACTTCTTTCCATTACTTTTCAAGTGCTGAAAACTTTCTTTTTGCAAATGTATTTAGAGTTGGATCTTTGAACCATGAAACTCCATTTGTTGAGGTTTCAGAAAGGCATTATTTGGCCTATCTGGCTCCTATTCCATTGTAAAATGTGTTAGGGACCCTTTTGCAAAACCTACCATCATTCCAAACCAGTAATTTTTAATATGCCATATATGTACCTAATATTTTGTTTAGGTTTACAATCCTTTAAGTATTCTGTTCCTTTTTGCAGCAAACCTGTGCGAGCTATCTTCTTGCACTTTTTTTTTTAATGTCTGAAAAGTAATTTCCAAAGGAAGTGGCATGCTGTTCTAAGAAGTACATTTTGCGTAGTCTGTATAATTAAAGGGACCACGTGTATGTGCTATATGTACAGTCAGTCATTATTTCTACACTTACTGCTACACTGTCACTGTAAAATATACCAGGAGAAAAAAAGAACATGATATAAAGATTGCAATATTTACCTTAAATAAAACATGGAATGATGCAGTATGTATGTGTGTTGAGTTTACCTGAAATGCTTTAGAAGAAAGCTAGATAACCACGGTAACATTACCTGGTGGGGTGGCAGATGAAGATGGGAATACTTGTCTCTGCAATGTTATTTCATACAAAGGGCATTCTGGTAATACTTTGTAATTTTATATAAGTCAACTGATTTTCATTTTTTTTTCTATATACATGAAAGCAACAGAAGCACACTTGAGGTAAAGCATTCTTGTCATATGACAAGGAGCAGCTGTTGTTTTCTGCCTCCTCCTCAGCAGGTTGGAAACATTCTTCCAGCTGGTTGTAAAAATATTAACAGTTAAGATCCACTGAGGAGGTACTTTACACAGCAGTAAAAAAAGGTTTGGCAAGGATGGAGGATTAGTGCTAACAGTTTCCATCACTTACAGAAACTGTGCATTTTTTAATAACTTTACTCGTTGCTGCAGTAGGACATGAAGTAAAATGAAAGCACTTTTTTCCTTGCCTGATCTCTGAAGGCAGTTAGTCAAAAGGTGCCCCAATACATCTTTCCCTCTTTCTTCTGAATATAGGAATTGTAGATGGGAAATGCAGTCTCAGGTCTATCTAGGCTTTATGAAAACAGGCTGTTACTGACCAAAGGAAGAATTATGTCCTAACTCTAAATTTATCATTATAGTTTGCAGTTGAGGAGCAGTCTTGTGACAGAACTCTCCAGGGCCTTGGCCAGGTAGCTCCAAGTTCTCTGTGCATGGAGGAACACCTGTTTATGCTTTCTACAAGGTTCTGTCACAGTTTAGGTAACCTGTCATATCACTTCAAGGAAGATCCGTTTGAGGTACAGGTGTTGAAGAAAGCAGCCTGGTTCTGGCAGCAGTCTCATGCTAAGCACTGATACAGTTTGCTGTGACATGAGCTCTCAGCTGCCCTGGCTAGTTTCTTCTTCCCCTTTCCATTCTGCTGTCTGTTCTAACAAGCATAGCTTTCAGCAGTCCCACCGATCCGCCACAACACTATTTTTTGCTCCTCATTTTCAAGGACATCTGGAACTTTGCATACATGTTATGCAGTATGTTCTGTCACTCTACAGAACTCTAAATAACCGCTAACAGGACCCCATAATATTTGAGGTACATCAGCACGTGAAACAAAACAGTGAATTGAAACATAAGCCACAAATGCCTACCTTACACGCAAATGGAATGATACTAAGCTTTTACAAAGTACAGAAATGAATGGTTGTTATTAAGCATTATTTTTTTTGTACCTATAACTGCTTGTCAGAAGACTTTTGCTTCTGTGAGTACTCAGCAGTCTCCCTGTGAGACCAATTCCTGACCTCAGCGTAATTCCTATAATTACTACAGCCACTTCTGTGATTAGTGTACTGTTGTGGTAAAACAGCTCCCAGGGCATAAGTAATACACTTCTATAGGATTATGTTTTATTTAATTTTATTAAACCTAATTCTCAGATGGAGGCTTGGTAACCATGATGTTATGTGGAAAGGGGACAGATGGGAAGACACAGACGGATGCCTGGGCACAAGAAAGACCACAGTGGTTCTCATTATTCAAATAAAATTGCTAATAGGAAAAAATTAAGGATATCTATAGTCATATACTCTAGTCACAGTATCTTCAGCTCCTATTTTGTTTCAACCTTAAGCTCTGCTAAAATGAATGTTAAAGGAAGCTTCAGTAGTAAGGTAGTAGTTGTACAACAATTTCATGTCACTAGCTTAGTAGCCCCTAATGCAAACAACCTTCATTTCTAAAGCTTTTTGTTCTCTCATAATAAGATTAGGAACCATTTAGCTACGATTTTCTTCACAGATCTTTTCATTCATTGACTAGAAATTAAACATAACAGAAGTAGCAGTTCAACCTGTATTTATCTGCTCAATGACTGAAGCTTAAAACACAGTTCTGTTGCTGTATATGCAGGACTCCAAGAATGAATCAGCCTTAGAAATGCACATAAGGTAAGAAGATGTCACTTTTAAGCAGGAGTAGCATATCTGCAGAGTAAAGTTGCCCTGGACAGGTTCAAGCAAGAATACAATAAATTCAGAAAAGCGTACTAAGAGTGACAAGGAAGGTTTGTTTTTGCAAGCTTTACTTCCAGTAAGTACACCTGGTACAGACTGATGCTTGCTGGTATCATACTCTCAAGAAAGGCTTTTCTATTGGAATAAAAAAGTTGCTGTACAGAAAGCAGTTGTGTAATGAATAACATGGCCTGTCCTACAGGCCTGAGACTTCCTTTATACCTGTGTGCCTCTTAGCAGTTAGATTACAGATGGAAGCAACAGTGCACTATCAGTTTTGCTACTGCAAGGACAGTGGTTACTCTGAGGGCCAATATTGAACAATTTCTCACAGAAGTATTCTATCACAAACTGCAACTGAAAGCCTCAAATATACTTTCTGTGGTTTTGTCTGCATGACTGCAAAAAAGACTTCATTAAATACAGAATTTGCTCCTGTTCATCATTATGAGTTCAATAATAAAAAAGATATTATCTTAAATGTACAAGTCCATATCCTAAAATAGCAATTTAAATAAGGATCAAATTCAGCTCAAACACTATCTATAGTTATACTTGTATTACACTGAAAGCTGTCAAAATCCACTGTAAGTCAAGAGCTTCCTGAGTTCTCTACATATTGCCAATCCTTAGTTTCACAGTGCAGGTTATTACTGGTCAACACATTCATAGCTCAGGTTAATAGGAACAAGAGGTTTGGAACTTCAAGGCTATACACTAAAAATTTTCCTAAAAAGTGTCATAATGTGGATCCTTTCAAGTGCTGTTAAAGCTGACTGAGTTTTCTTTTTCAAAAAATGTTTATACTTAAGTTACTCAGATTTTTCACCTTATTAATCAGAAACATGCTAGAATGGACTTAAGGCAAAGACACATTAGCTTTAAAAATCATCAGTATTTTGAATTCAACTGCTGGAAAAATTAGTGCAGCATTAGAAGAGTAAATGAAAAGAAAATGGACATTGAATATGTAGGAAATTTATTTCCTACTTAAAAACCTACACAAATTACAGCAACATTAGGCAATTAGAAGACCTAGAGGTAATTTATGTTAACTTATATTAAACACTTTAGAGATGAAGTACCACTCACAGCAAAAGGAATGTAGTGAGACTGAAGTTTAATATCTAGCATTGTTAAGAAACTGATGCCTAATGAAACAAAAGTGGAATGTTGATTTCATAAAAATATACACATATAAAAGTATCTTTGTGCCTGAATTCCAGAACAGTTTCTCCAAAGTAGTGCTTCCAGAACTTTCAAGTTTTAATTATATTCAAAGTATTTATCATTTGAGTAAAGTTGGCAAATTCAGTAACAGGTCACTCACGAATGGAGATTTTTTTTTTCCTCCCCCATGAAAGCAGCAGAATATTACAATTTTAATATTAGAGTGAAACCCATTTGTTATTTTATCTACTACACCTTCCCAATTAATTTATAGAGCAAGCTAGTCAACAATAATTTGGCAAAAAGAAATTTAAGTCAACAACAAGATGAACTGGGTTTCGGTTTCCGATGTAGGTTTACTGTATCTGTTTGAATAAAATGATCTGATCTATCTTCAGAAGCTAGAACTCTTCTGACAGCTTCTTCAAAGGCTGCTGCAACATTAGTGGCATCTTTTGCACTGGTTTCAAAATAGGGATGGTTGCCATTATTCCTGCACCAGTCTTGGGCTTCTTCTGTAGACACTTGCCTTTCATCAATATCAACTTTGTTACCCAGTATCACAAAAGGGAAACTTTCAGGCTCCTTTACGTCTGCATAGTAAATGAATTCTTTCTTCCAGTTGCTTAAGTTTTGGAAGCTTTGAGAGTCATCCACGCTGAAGGTTAGCAGGCAACAGTCAGAACCTCTATAGAAAGGAGTCCGCAAGCTCCTAAATCGTTCCTGACCTGCTGTGTCCCATATCTGCATTGTGACAAAATGTCCATCGACTTCCAACTCTTTATTTAAGAATTCCACACCTATTGTATGAAACAGCTGTGCATCAAACTTGTTGGTGACGTATCTGTTCATCAGCGAACTCTTTCCAACTCCACCATCTCCCAGCAGTATTACTTTAAGGAGCGATGATTTTGCTGCCATTGTTACAGGAAGAAACCCTCCTGATTTCCTAGACCTGTAAAGATTAAGAAAATCATTAAAAACAAAAGTTGTGAGCAGCAAATTTTGCACACAGAAATATCTAGAACTTGTTAAAGTCCATCAACATCAAGTTTCAAAATCAGAAGGATACACTAAATGAGTAAAGTCTAGATACTCCAGTAAGAATACCCTCTCAAAAATAGCATGTGTAAGAGATGCCTCTTACACACTGCAGTCTGCATGGCAGTCTAAACAGTACATTGCATGAATTACTGGTCTGTCACTTAAAACACTTGAAAGTCCCAAACTCAATCACCTCCCCAGTCACCTCCCCTTTGTACAGAAGGAGTATCAGATCACACTGAACAAGTGCAATGATTCATTTATGTTCACTGAAAAAGATCCATGAAAAAAAAGCGGAGTGAGAGAACTTTATAGAGCACATGCCTTGAACTAATAACTTCAGTGCTGCATTTCATTAGCAAAGTTAATCTAAACTAACTCACTGGGAACACAGTTATCTACAGAACAAATGCAAATGCTGTAAGTTTATTTTAAGTCACATGACTAGGTATCAGCAGACAAACATTCAATATTTTATAGTTTACTCCTTGCACAACAGCATTGATGAATGGAATACTATTACAACTACAAAAGCAAATTCACTGTTGCTACTTCAGTGGTACTCAAGATGCCAGATTACTGAGGCCAAGCCTACACTGACAGTTCAGTTAGTAGGTGTCAACTTCCCATAGTAAAACTGTCAAAAAATCTGGAAGTGCTACTGAATAGTCTGGCTGCCAGCATAGTCAGACTTAAAAGATAAATTAAAAAAAAAAAAAAAAAAAAAAAAAAAAAAAAAAAAAAAAAAAAAAAAAAAAAAAAAAAAAAAAAAAAAAAAAAAAAAAAAAAAAAAAAAAAAAAAAAAAAAAAAAAAAAAAAAAAAAAAAAAAAAAAAAAAAACAACACAAAACGCAAAACCTCTAGCATTAAAGTAGTTTGCTCATTAGTGCTTTGTAGCAGCCCAACCTTTGCCATCACTGCCACAGTGTTTATCTAATATTGTAAAATGGTGTTTTAATTGCTTGGGGGTAAAGTTTCATTTGAACAAGCCCAAACTTAAGTTTCTGTATGAGGAGAACTGGTGTTCCTAAACCTGGCTGATAGTAAAAGAGCTCAAAGTATTCAGTCCAAACAGGCTTCTCTGAAAATAGCACCTATTTAATATGGAAATGGGTCATAAGTTGCCTAGTCTGTCTCTTTCTTTGAAGGAAGGAATGTGGTCTTGCTAGTTGTAATTAGTGTTACTGGCATATACATCACCCACAGAGTGACTGTAGAATTAATACCTGACACAAGCTGGCATGAGAGTCATATGACTCTGTGCCGCTTTACAATCAAGGCCTACACTGGGAGTGAGAAATTTCAGGAATTTTTTTTATCAGTGACTTTCTATCTTTGAGTGGTTTTTTGCTAGGCACAACCTACAGTGAGACTGAGGGAATACTTTGAAGCCTCAACACAAATTTCAAAATATAAGGACCTGGCTGCTTCCATTAAAAATCTGTTCAGAGCAAGTAATTTAATCATTCATATGTGTAAATTAACAACATTATTTATAAATCATTAATTTTGTACAGATTTGTATCACAACAATGTTAGAACTGCTTAAGAGCAACAAGTAGACTCTTCAATTAGCCTTCGGAGAGCTATGGGATAACTGCTGTGGCTCGGGGTATGAACACACACATTTTAATGTATGTGAAATGCCTTAGCAGAGTCATTGGACTACTTGCATAAGAGTTACAGGTTCATGCTTAAGTCTTGAAAATGGTCCAGTGTATTCATTTATCTCCCTAATTTCTACTGTTAGTTAACAAATAAGTTATCTAAGCTACACCATTAGATAGGAGCTGCTTCTTAATAAATAATGCTTTCATGAGAACAGAATGTTCTTCTGTTCTTCCACTCCAGTGTAGGGAACAAGTTACAATTTATTTTTTCTGTCCTACAGAAATCAGAAGTTCCCTAGAAGACACAATGTGAATAAATAACTGGCCTAAGTAGTTTTGACTGGTACTAAGCACTTGTTTCTTTAGCTTCTGCATTTTAAACAATGACGGTTAAAATTCAAGTAAGGAAAGTGTTAACAGTATCTAGTACTTCTGCGCATCCAGAACCTGCAAAAGTTATTTTGCACAATTTCAACTATGTGGGCCATTACAGTGAGGTGTAAGAGAATGATGACCATCAAATTAGTTTTACTGGGCAGACAATTACTCACCAACCACAAACTATTAAAAGTGTTTTTTCAACTAAAACCAAACTGTTCTTTTCACACTAAGGCTACAGAAACAGTCTTCCCAGGACTAACTGAAACGAAGTATCTCAACTGGATATTGCAGGACACCTTGCTTTTCAAAACATTCAGTTCCCACAACATGCTAGGCTAGCTTTTAAGTTTTTGTCAAGTTTTTAATAAAAAATAATGGAATATATATTCAGTAATTTATAAATGCTTACACACTGGACCTGAAGCAGGAAAGAAGCATGTTACAAGCACTAAGTATTTTTGTTTGGAAGCAGCAAAGTCTTTATACAATTATAGTTTTATTACTATATAAGGGACTCGTGTAGCCTCAGTGATTTAAAGTATCTGCTGAACCAGAGTGATAGGTTCTAGCACAGTAGACTGCTGCGTTTTTTTTTTCTGCTTACACATCTTTAGATAAGATTTTTAAAGAGCTTGATTTTTGTAATTGTTTTTCAATTCAAATAAAACAATGATAAAATATTTAAGACACTTGCAGAATTAAAGTTATGTCTCTTATTATATACTTTGAACTTATCTGAACTTTTTGAAAGTTTTTTGAAGGGATGGTCAACATCTGATACCATGTTTCTGAAGATTTATTACCTTAATTGTTCAGTTTAAATCGTCATTCAGCATCTGAAAACAAAACAAAAGCTTAATTCCTAATGTGCACCTGATTGTCCATCAGTAACTGCAAGACAGAATTACAGGTAACTAATTGTTCCATTTATTTCTTACTGAGCTGCACAATTAATTTAAAGTAAAAGTAGTCTCAACACAGAGGAGTCTGTAACAAGAAGAATTTTCCCTCATGTTCGCCTATCAATATTCAAAGTCAGAGCAAAAAGATAAAAAGCATCCCCACTCAGGTTCATTTTGATAATATTTCTGAACTGCTTCCACCAACTTAGGACTCAAGCGCTTAAATCACTGACTTCAGTATTCCTGTTAAAAACAGAGAATTTTTTCTACTAAATATAACTTCTACCATGATCATATGCTGTAATACAAAAAGTAAATTAATTGTACCTTTCAGTATGTCCCTTTTAAACAGTCAAATGAACTGCAAGTCAAACAATTCCATTATCAGTTCAAATATTTGCTGTCAAGGCTAAAGATGACATGCTAAGCAACCTCAGAAAAAACAGCATTACAAAATCTTTGATTCTCAGTCCCTCAAAGCCTAGTGAAACACCACAGCCTTGTCCAGTCTGTCCGTCTAGACTGTCTTATTTCTTAGTCCAGGAATTTGTCTTTTTTAACTACAAAAATAATTTCATTAAGGAGGATCTGCTCACACCAGAGTACTGAAGGCTGAAGACAAATGATGAATTTAAGTTTTCTCTATGGAAAAAGTGTTCCCCAACACAGTAACTGCATTGTATCTATGTTGTCAGCAAGCTACAACCCCACATAAACTATTAAGCAAACCTAGTCAACTGGACCTATTTACAATTTCACTTTCACCACACAGATATCATCCACCGCAGCATACCATGAAAAAGTCCAGTGAAACAGAAAAACACACATAGGAACTGATATCTCACCTCCACTCCCCTTATTTTAATAAGACACCAAAAATTGGATCTGTTGAAATACCACCACTGACTTCCCTCAGCATTCTTGAGGAAACAGATGTAAAGGATACCTCTAATTTCCAGACTATTGTTTTTCCACTTGTATCTACTTTCTTGGAAACAGACAACAAAATTTATTTCAATCACCATTTTAATTCAGTGGTCACTGATGAACCAACTATCTGCTGTACAAAAGCAAGATTAGACCCAAAGGTTTTCTTGAAGATACGCAGTACACTGTCCTTTAACTGGAGCTGTCAGAGAACACCTATTTGACTTGGAGAAAGATACAGGATCCAAGGTGATACAGAATCCAAGGTAAAGACAGACTCAAGTGTTTTCTAACTAATCCGGTTTAATGACAACCTAATTGGCTTTCAGCCAAGACTTACTGAAAAAAGGGGATGTCTTTGATTTGAGAAAAAAACCACTGAAGTTACCAACAAGCAGAATTAGCAGTTCCATATAAATTATGTCAGCAAACACTGACCCTATTTCATAACTTCCTCTCCTCAAATTTACACATTTACAGCACATCTATTTCAGCTTTGAAGCTTATTCACAGTTTCATTTGCTAAGCCACCTTATTTTGTTAACCACTGGCATCAGATATTAATAGTTTAAAATGGCATACCAACACTTCAAGTATTTTGACTGACAAAAACACTCGCCTTTCAATAGAAAGGTAAATTCACAACCTCATTAGTAATTAATTGCTTCTCTGTAAAATATCTGAAAAGAAGTCCCAAGAACTATCAGAGTTGCAGTACAAGGAGCAGAATCCAAAACTGTCTAGTTTTCAACACTTACTATTTGTGGAGATTTTACATCTCTAAACTTGTTGCTTATAGCAGATCTGCAAGTTTCCAAAAATCTGAAAAGAAAGGACAGAAACAAATTTTCTCACTTTTCTCCCCTTAGCCAGTCCTTGCTCTTGTATTTAGGAGGCAGTGGTTTACACCCTGGCCAATTAAGTGGCACAAGAATGTTTTCTTTTAATGCATAAGAGGTCTGTTTGACCTTGAAAGATTTTTCAATTCAAAGGAAAACATCCAGATATGAAGTCAAGATGCTACATGCTTTGTACTTTTGAATGTGCTACAAGCACAAACATTAGTCAGCCTCCAAATTGACTCTCCCCTCCACGAGGCACTGATGTAATAGCTGTGGATCAGGAACACCCCTTCACTGACAGCCACTTGTCAGCTGCCTAGTTCTCCGGAAGCCTGGAAGCCCTTCAGTCATGCAGCTCCACCTATCAAAATCCTAATCTCCTTGCAAGTCTTCCTTCCTATGAAGATAGTCTGTGTTTTCTTTCAGATAGATGTTTAAGAATTTGCTGGCAGGTTATCTGAAAATTGCCTCTATTTTAAGCAGCCTAGACATGCTTTATATAACACCAGAATATCACTAGAATTTATTTGGAATTTCTAATATGAACCCAACCCAAACTGAACTGATATACAGCTATTGCCAGTCTTTTGGATACCAAAAAAGTTGTATTTAGGGGTATCTTTATGAGCTTGTTTTTAACTCCTATTCAGGACTCTAGTTCAAACAGTTGCCTGGCATGACTCAGGACTATGAACGAAGCAGCAGCCAAGGGGAGGAATCCTCAAGTCTCTGTAACCCTTGGATCATGAAATCATCCCAGTACCTACTGCCAGAATCACTTCTTTTATTCTAACTTCTATCTAGCCACAAAGTCAATCAGCAAAACTTGTCAAGAGAAATACACACCTCTGTCAGTTTAATCTTGCAGAGACCTGGCTTCACTTCCCAGCTCATTCCCTAGATTCAAGTAGAATGAGCAAACTATTATTTATTGGGATTTAATCAGAGCTGACATTTCTCAGCAGCTCACAGTTAAGTATCTTCCAACTTAAATATTCTATTACTTGCAGTCAACTTCAAAACACCCTTCGGTGCTGCTGCTCTTGATCCAACATTTCTAACAATGCATTAGCTATTTGACATTCTCCTTGCAACCTACTCCTCTGTTACTGCTTCCACTCTTTCAATAACTTATCCAACAATTATTTCTGCTCATGTGCTCATCTTGCTCTCTGGCATTGGTTTCCCTTTTCCTTCAGGGAATCTTAGTAATAGCAGCCTCTATTGGTCAGGCTACATTGTACATTCATATTCTTCTCAGTATAACTATGTGACAAAAGCCCATCCCTAAAGCATTAAGTGGGTTACACTGTACCAGGCCAACATAATGTCTGCTCTGTAGAGAATGAAACCAAAAACAAAACACCACGGAGAATGAACATTACTATTAAAAACAAACAAACAAACAAACCCTAAGGACTTCTTACAAGCTTTTTTGCTGGGAAGGTTTTATTCATTGTGAAATGTTTATGTAAAATTGCAATCCTAAAGAGCTGAAAAATCTGTTTCTCACGATTTCTTACTAAATTGACACAAAATAAAACAAAGCTTGAAATCTAAATATCTTATTTGACCCTCTGCACATATTTTTAACTCAAGGAAACGGATGGTTTGAGCACTCAAAAGCAAAACAAGGACTGCTAGAGCTTTGGGGTTTTTTAATACACACTGTCTGTCGCTTTTTAACTTTACAGAAAAGGCTTTACTAAAATTAAGACAGTGAACAGAGTTTCATGCAACCTGAAAGAAGACAGAGGAAAATAAGAATTCATTATAAATTTGATGTTGGTATGAAACACAACTATAGCTGTACCATCCTTTGGTTAGGTTTCTCTGGAAGTAAAAGTATTTTGGGTATGTCTGAGAAACAGCTCTCCCTCCAGTCTGCCATTACCGCTTGTTACCTTATAAGCTACTATAAAGTCATAGAAAAATAGGAAAAAAAAATCATAAAGGAAAAAAAAACCCAAACCACACACACCAAAAACCCCCAGCCACGCAAAACAACCCTTGCTCTAAAAAAAGCAAGCACTGACAACTTCAGTGTTGCACAACAGTTTAAAAGTAAAGACAAATAAAACCCACATGCTTATTTAGTATAGCTGTAAATTGTTGTGGGCAAGAAGGAAAGGATGTAGGACGAGAGGCTGCATAACAGCTAACTGCAGACAAGTGTTTTAATTCCTGACGAAAATTTATCCAAGAAATTCCCTACCTGCCTATCCCATCCAAATTAATAAAAATTAAGTGGTTTCTACGTAGTTCATTATATGTAACCTTGGTATAAAGGCTACTCAGTGAGGTTCTTAGAACTAGTTTTTTTTCACTTTTCTGTAATCCACTCAATTGTTTTGCACAAGTTAGATGCGACAGGGAATCACTTGCACTGCCCATTAACCACCCAGACGTAAGCGACTCGCCAATCCTGCCCTACCCCTACTCCTATCCTCCCCAGTCCTCCCCACACCTGAGCCCACACAGCCACCTGCCACCACTGGAAACTCCCCGGGCCCCGCAGAGGGGCTGGATCGAGACTCTGCTGCAAAAAAGAAGAAATGAAACCCAAGGGTGCCCTGAGCATTTCTGTCCCTCTTCAGCACAGAATCACAGAATCGATTAGACTGCAAAACTAACCAGTCTATGACCGAACACCACGATCTCAAGAAGGCCATAGCACACCACTCAGTGCCACGTCCAGTCCTTCCTTAAATCTCCAGGGTCGCTGACCCCACCGCCCCCCCGGCAGCCCATTCCAAGCACACAGCAACGAGAAAAGGCGATCAAGGGAGCTCTAATATTTCTTCTTTTTCCCATCTGAAACGTGCTGAGGACACAGGTACGAAACCGAGCTTCACCCTGACGGATCGGAGATCTTTGTCAGTGGTGAGGAAGCGCCGCCGGGCCGGAGCCGGCTGGGAACCGCCTGGCAGGGGCCGCGTCCCAGAGGAGCCACCGCCTGTCCCAGGTCACGGGATCCCGGATCACGCCACATTCCCCGCCACCGCACCGGCCCTGCGGAGCGCCCGGGGCCCTCTCCCACCGCGGCCCCGGCCAGGGCTGACCTCCCGCTCCCCAGGAGCGCCAGGGAGCCACGGGGAGCGCCCGGACAGCACCGGGGGAGCGAGCAGGAACCGCGACGGCGAGAGGAAGGAAAAGAACGCAACCTCACTGGGCTCCAGACCGCGGGAAGGGGACTGCCGCGGCTCCCGGGCGCGCTGGGGAGGCCGATCCCTGCCCGCGGGAAGGGGCTGTGGCTGCTCCTGCCGCCGCTCCCGGCCCCGCTCCCGGCCCCGGGCTGCGCCACTGCCGGGCGCTGGGTGAGCAGGGAACATGGCGGGCCGGGCAGGGGCGGTGCCGGCACCACGTGATCCGCGCCGAGCGCAGGGCCCCGCCCCCGGCGCAGAAACCCCGCCCCCGGCACAGAGACCCCGCCCCCGGCACAGAGACCCCAGCCTGAGGCGGCTGCTCAGCCCGGGAGGGGGACAATGGGAGGCGGAATAGGCAATGGGAATGGGCAATGGGAATGGTATGGGAATGGGCAATGGGAACAGGCAATGGGAATGGCTATGGGAATGACTATGGCTGTGCCCACAGCTAGCACACAGCACGCCCACGCCTGTCGAGGGCCATACCTCTCACAGAACACTATCGTGTCACGCCTGAGAGCGGCCCACCGTTCTGCTGGAAACACATAACACTTACTTGCTCCAGAACGCTCTGAATCATTAGACCCTAAAACGCCTAAAACCATTCAGAGCTATTTATTAAAGGCAGTAGAGTCCCACTGTGTTCCACATTAAGGACCCCAGGCAAGCAAACTCACAATTGTAAGGCAGCTTCACTTTACAAGCAGAAACGTTGAAAACTATACTTGTGTCAATGAAGGAATTAATCGACATACAAAGCACACTATTTAAAAAGAGTAGCCATACAAAGCACACTATTTACAAAGAGTAGCCAGGCGCTTTTTTTTTCCCCTATAATAATTCAGAATAACAACGACTTGACTGTTTAAACAAGATCACAGGGAAAAAAGGCTAAAGAAGCTGGTGATAGTCTTTTCTGTGCTCTTACAACTCACCACGAGGATAGGGCAAAATATAATTAAAATGAAAAGAGTAGAAATTAAAGAGGTTCCCACATCATCAAGAGAAAGAGGTGGTGACAGGCATAAGTACACCCATTAGCTCAAACAGTCATCACATGCTTCCGATCATAAGGGAGATGCAATCAGACTGGAACTGCCACTTGGCAGAGTCATTTTGTTTTGGATCAGACCTATGAAACGGCCCAAGGAGTGGAAAACAAGATCTCAGTACCATCAAAAAGAGATGTCTCCTATTGACAGGAGCAGGATTATGAAAAGGCAGTCCATGCTAGAGGCAAATATGATGACATGAGACCCATTCCAATTTAACAAAGCTGGACTTTGAAAATTTTCAAATACTTTATTCCCAGGATCTGCTTTCATCCAATGCTAAAGTAAAATACAAGTAAGTGCTGGAGAGGTAGAAAAATGGACTCTTTAAATGATGATAATTCTAAGACATGAGAGTGCTGATCATCTAGGGCATTATTTTGTGATTTAAAGAGAAAAAATTCTTCATTTAGAAGTGGAGAAAATACTCTATTTTGCACTTAATGCCTTGTGGGGTGAAGCTACCATGTCTTTGTTTTGAGACAACATTGGTTTTCAGACACTTGGATATATTTAAGGAAATTTAGAAGCACATTTTGGGTTTGAAGGGACCTTTTAAGGTTATCTAATCCAATCCCCCTGCAGTGAGCAGGGACATCTTCAACTAGGTCAGGTTGCTCAGAGCCCCATCCAGTCTGACCTTGAATGTTTCCAGGAATAGGGCACCTACCACCTCTCTGAGCAACCCGTTCCAGTGTTTCACCACCCTCATTGTAATCATATTCCTAGTTTGAATATAGTCAGTCTGTCCAGTTGAATCTAGGCTTCTTTAGTTTAAAACTGATACCTCTCGTCCTAGTGCAAGAGGCCTTGCTAAAATGTCTGTCCCTGTCTTTCTTATAAACCCTTTTTAGGCCCTGGAAGACTGCAGTGGGGTCTCCATGGAAACTTCTCCAGGCTGAACTACCCCAGATGTCTCAGACTGTCCTCATAGGAGAGGTGCTCCAGCTCTCTAATCATCTTGGGATCCCTCCTCTGGACTCGCTCCAACAGGTCAATGTCCTTCCTGTGCTGGAGCCTCCAGAGCTAGATGCAGCACTGCAGGTGGGGTCTCATGAGACCAGAGTAGAGGGGCAGAATCACCTCACCTGCTGGTCATGCTGCTTTTGATTCTTTCTGGATTGCAAGGGCACATGGTTGGGTTGTGTCCAGACTCATCCACCAGAAACCCCAAGTCCTTCTTGTCAGGGCTGCTCTCTGTACATTCTTTTCACCGCCTGTATTGACACCAGGAGCTGCCCTGACCCAACTCCAGCACCTTGCACTTGTCCATATTGATCCTCATGAGGTTCACATTCTTCAGCTTGTCCAGGGATTACATTTTTTTCAAGTTCTAGTTAGAAAACAAAATTCTTGAATTTCTCAGGTAAGATGTATTTTTATTTCTTGTCCATGGGAACATAAATCAAAATAGAAAAGAACCATGGTGTAACCATGCCTATTATGGTTATGATTTTATAGGCATAATGGAGTATCACAGGGTTACACTCATGGCTTATACACACTCATGGTTAATACACACCTATGAGTGCTTGAGGATTAGGAACTGAAGGCCCTTTTCCCTCATGTCCACCCTGTTACTATTATTCATGTACATAACAAAACCAATAGATGCTGTAGAACAATCAAAAACTGTAGAACAAATAATGCCACTTATAGGACTGGGCACACCAAGTATACCTGCCAGTTCTGAGGTTAGGTACAAGAAAATGCCGAGGTAGGATGTGGTTTGAAATGTGTGCAGCAAAATCATTCCCATTTTACATCCTGCAGACAACATAGGGTCCCAGTGGTGGGTGTTGTGCAGTCTCCCCCTGCCTGAAGCTGCTCCCTGACCATTGGAGGTGAGCAGGGCTGGGGCAGTGCTGGTGGGGGCAGCTGCTTCAGGGTCCTGATGCCAGCTAAAGCCACATTTTGACTTAGTCACTGAACAAGCCTGGTGGCCCCGTTCCTGAATCCCACCTTGTGCCCCAACACTCATGCAACAGCACAAACTCCTCCCCAGACCTGTCTGGTTCTCAGTGGAGTTTTGGCATATTATTGTCAACAGACCTGCCCTGCTCTTATTGTTTGAGTGATGTGGGACAGTGACCATTTTACTGAAGTCACTGTCCCTCCAGGCTTGTCACCCTCCCTCCACTCCTCGCTCACCTCCTCCTGTGCAGCAACCCGCCCTTGCTGCTCCCCTCATGTGCACCTTCCTCTGAAAGCTGACTTTGCACCTTGAGGATTTTACAGAGGTCTATTCATGAAGCCGTGTTGTTATGTCACATCATAGCCAAGGGCACAAAAAACATCCCAATGGCAAATAAAGGGCAAATTTTTTTGTGCGAGTATGGGGAAGTTCTGTATCAGCAAAGCTCTTGTATAAAAGAGCTTGTGAATGCTTTTTACCATCTGTAGTTGGCAAGGAGACTTTCTCCCATCCTGGCAAGTGATGACATGGCCTCAATAAAACATGACTTTGTCACCTCTTGGATGAATTACAGCAGTACAAAATAAGGGGATATGAAGTCATCTGCCTTTATGGCTCTGTTCATACCAGAATGCAGCAGGCCAGCCCTCAAGCAACCCAAGAAATTATCAAAGTGCTCTTGTTTCTTTCCTTATCTTTCAGGCAGTCAGTGAATTGGCCATTTACACTGTGAAGAGTCTCTGAAGGACTGTAATTCAACATATTTGCTCCTTAACCACAGCCTGTTACCAGGTAACTTTCCTTTTTGTCAGAAAAAAAGAGCTGTTTTTTTTTGTTTGTTTAAAGGGTTGCAGTTCTTGGCCTCAGCAGCAAATGTACATAGCACAGCAGACAGAAAAGGAACCCATTTTAAATAAAAATAAAGAGCACAAATTTCTTTTTGGATTTGAAAGGAAGCAAGAGTCATAAAAAACAAATGGCAGCTGAGTATCTCCCTAAAAAGTGTACAGTAAGAGAGTTATGAGGGAGATGGAAAAGGTGCTCAACAGAACAGAATTAAATGGATCTCACAGTAAATCTCTAAGAACCAGAGTTTTATCACTGGTGTTAAGGAAGCAAGATTGATTCCAATTATAGAGTATGTTTTAGAACAGTATCTTTGTTTTTACATTAAAAATTGTGTGAAATTCATTGTTAATTTAGCTCTCATCTTCTCAAGTTATGTATCACAAGTTCTGCAGCCACAGGCTCCTTGATCTTTGAGTGCAATTTATGTTTAAGATCTTATTGCTACTGTTAAATCACAGGATCCAAGAAGCAGCTGAATTTCCAACATCTCTGGAAAACCCAGTGAAAACAAATACAGACTTTAGCCTTATTCAACATACATTTGTCCTATGTTTTTGTGGATCACCTCTTATGTCACGCTCCTTTTTGGAATAGCACCACGGACATACTAAACATCCTATCAAACTAATTGTCTATGCTTTAAAAAGCTAAGAGATCTTTTCACCACCTGGAACAAATGGAAATACGGCAACTTCAACAAAATAAAAGAATCTCAATTTTCTTTTATCCTTGTTTCTGGACTGTATACTCCCTGTACTCCAATGATCTACACACTCCTGCTGGTATGTACACTGTGTAGCTGCAAGCTGACTTCTTACAGACATTTTGAGACAAAGCATACAATCTTATCCAGTCAAATATTTTAAGCCTGCACAGTTACACAATCTGGGTAGGGACAATATAACCTATTGACAAACTGTGGCCTGGAGTAGAACTTTGCTTAGTGAAACCATGACCACACCTACTTAAATAAGAGCAGTGATTCACCTGAATGACCATCTCTCATACTTGGCACTTCACGTCTGTAGACTATTCCCATATATAGTGGTACATGCTGCCACACATGACATTTGGCTTCTACTGAACATTTCAAGGAACAAGCATCAGGTACAAATAGAGATGGAAAAATGGCCAAATTGGTAAAGACCTGTGTGAGGTAAAAATAATCAAAGCCATAAGATGATCAAGAAAGTAATACAATAATTTATGACTTTTTATACAGTTTCACTAACTGTGACATGTGAAGTTGTGGCAGCGTGGTTATCAGCATGAACTAAGCATAAAGTGAAATCGAACCTAGATCAGTTTTTTTCACCAGCCCTGGAACAACAAAGCCTCGTTTCCTAGAGATTTGTGTCCTCAGCATACTTAATACAGTGCAGTTCACTCTCCCTGTCCCCTGCTCTTTTCTGCCAGTACTCCCAGGTGTCCTCCTTGTCCCAGACTACCATCTGAGGAAGTGGAAGCATATTTTTTGCCTGGCTTTTAGGTAATACTAAAAACTGTGTGTGTGTTTTGAACCAGCAGCCAGCAGCTTAGACTAGGTAACTCCTCAGTAAAGGTTAAGGGCTCTATCAATTTCAACAGGAACAGAAATTCTTTTTATTACTGGATTTCACAAAATTTACCAAATATATTCTCATCTTTTGATGTCTAGTTTTAACTGGACTTGCTTCAATTGTCGTTGGGAAGGAAAACAATGGAAAAATGCCTGCTCACAATGTATTACCACATAAAACTAATTTAAAATGCTGAGTTTACAACTGCAAGGGTACAAGTACTTGCCCTAAGAGTTCTGACTGTTCTCGGCTTGTAACAGAATAAAGTTAAGGGACAGTTTTAAAGGGGCATGGTTATAATCCAACTGATGACTATCTGTAGTTTGTATACCATAAACTGCAACTGCAGTTGCTAGTAACTGGATTTTATTATTCCCACATCTTAAAAGATAAGATCAAGATGTGAAAGGCTAAAACCAAATGACCCTCTTGCTGCTGCTGGCATGGCTCACTCAGATCACAGAGAGGCAGGCTTGCTTAGGGATCTGAAAGTTTTGAGATACCTGCTGTTTGCATACTTGCTGTTTACCTGCTCAGTAAATATGGATCATGGATATAGCTTAGCACTACACATTTAGGGTGAGCAGTTCAAAAGAAAATTATGTTACACATTATGTCACAAATGTAGTCACTATTACAGCTATAGATTTTACCCTTGAAATATATTCTGTCAAAACCACTGTCCATGCCTTGTAACATTTCCCTTTGGCAAGATAAAACTTGGATGAGCTCTACATTACTGGAATGGCTTCAAAACCAACTGCAGGCAGAAATTATTTATAAGTGTCTGTTACTTGCAGCTAAAATAGTCTTCTGTTACGCAGTGTTCTGACACAGCATAGTACTGGCGTACAGCTCTCCTCAACAGGACCATGACCTTCAAAATTACTGCACACAACGACACTGTGCTTACTGTGAACCAGTCGCACATAAGTTGGCCTTCCTCTAGTTTCACTGAAAGTTAAAAATAATACTTTACACAGAAGTACTCCCACTTAAACAAGCAGGACTACTTGTAACCAGCAATTCCAGCACATGGGTAAGGGCTGGGAAGGGCAGATATTAACTGATTGGTTACACAGTTGAACACTAGCTTTAATAAAGTGTAAAGCTTTAATATGTATTTTACATCAGTGCAGTTCCCCTAGAACACACATTTTCATATGATAAAAATCTTAAGTAATACCTCAGTAAATCACACCATTGAAAGTTAACTGTTAATACTCCACTGAATGGAAAGATTTTTTCTTCTTTTTTTTTAGTAGAAAATAATTTAAGTGTCTCTTCTTAATAACAGGTTGCACACCATTTCCCCCATATACAGATAAAAGCCCTGTCTCTTAGTCCTGGCTGGCTTTTAGTTCACCAACAGCTATTTTCTCATCTCATGTCCCTAACTCGTTTCTCTGACAGGTCATGTGGCTGGAGAGCTCCAGGGCAGTGCCTCAGCCCAGAGGAGCTGACCAGCCCCAGCAGTGTCAGAGCCAGATGGGAGCAGGAACTGACCTGAACTCCTCCAGCAAATACTCACCAGGTTTTTCTGCTCTGCTGATGCTGATGTTTAGCCTTGAACTGAAAAATGCCTGTTGTGCATTTGTAAGAGATACAGGGCTACTACTTAAGTGAGAAGAATGAGAAAATGTTGGGTTTTGTTGTGGGTTTTTTGACAAATAAATTCTTATAGTATACAATCAGTGACCATCCTGTTGACTTTGGAAGAAAAATATGCATAAAAACTGTAGCTGTTAGATTTCCTTCTATTTGCTGTTTCTGCTTAACCAGATGCACAATATAAAAACATTAATTTTCTTAGTTCAGGACAGATGTCCCAATTCAAGTGACAATATCCACTCAGAAAGTAATTAATGCCTATTAATTTCATGCCTTTATAACAAAGATAAAGTCAATAATATATTTACAAAATTTTCTGAAACAAACCATTCTCTAATCCTGCATTAATTTCTTAATGGTTGCAAGACACATCATCTTATACTGTAAATCTGGACTGCCTACTGACAGACTATCACAAGTCCTGTTTTCTTTCCAGTAGTTATAAAAAGCTAAAGCAGGATGTCATTCTTGTTTTCATTTGCTAGCTGTTTTCTCCCCCTTTTACATTGTATTTTTTGTTTCTTTTTTCCCTGTTAGAAATTAGCTCTCGAACCAACTCAACAACTTAACTTACTTACTTGCAAAAAGTGATTTAATTAAGGAGTGAACCCATGCTGAACATTCTGCAATGCAGGCAAGTACGTGAACTGCAGTTTCGGAAACAGTTTGTTTAGTGTAAATGAAACTTAGGTTCCATGACAGAACTCCTGCTGAAGGTAATAAAATATCCAAATACTCAGCCCCTTGAGAAAAAAAATGCAGCACCTGGAATATTTTTAATGGATTTCCTAGTGAATAATTTTATTCTCAGATATAGCGTAACCATGTCACAATTTTTTCCCTCTACTCTTTTATTTTCTTACATATTTACATTACTTAAAACCACATAGATTTATTGAAGTCATCTTCAAAAATACATTAGTAATTTTTTAAAACTGATTTTGCACTTTGTAGTGACAGCATCTACATAGTATCAATACAGAGTTTAAAGTTTCAACAGAGGCACCTTCTCGTATCAATGTTTCCAAACCATTTATTAAGGAGGGATAGTGTTACAAACAAATCCATCTGCTGTGATACCACTGCTCTCCACATTCATTACAAATAACGTAAGTCAGCATTTGTTCATCGGGATTTGTGTTTCGCACCCAACCGGGAAGAAAGAGAGTTCCTCTGGCGATCATAGTGACGGTGCAATCAAATTTTTCACAGCGCCTACACTTTATTTTGTTTGTCTGTGTGCCATTAATAACTTGTGGAAGCTGATGCTCCTGAACAGATGATTCGGTGTACAGAGCCCTGAGCTGTTTCAGTTCATCGCTGGCCATTTCCATCACTGTCATCTCAGCAAAAGCCTTTGGGCTCAAAGTCCCTGTAAAAAGGTTATGTTTCAAGTGGCAATTTTTAGGATTCTTCAGGTTAGAGATTTTACTTCTGATGCAATTTTTATATTTTTTGTCATTTTTAGCATGAAGAGCAAAAACATGGTTTTCAATTTCTTTGGATAATTCTAGCCATTTAACAGTTTCTTCTTCATCTTTGGCAGAACTAATCAAAGCTTTATATAGAAGATCAGTACATTTGCACCTAAGAGCTCTCACTGGGTCCTGCTGCAGACTTGCTTCATTATTAACAGATTTAGAATCTTCATTAATAGTGTGTTGCTCCTCAGCAGAAGAAAGCTGATTAATACTGCCTTCTGCATTGTTACAGATCAGATTTTTAACAATTTGTGATGGGACCAAAATGTTGGAACTAGTACTACCTAATGCCTCCTGCTGACATGGTCCTTCCGACAGCAACTGCTCTCTAGGAGCCACACTGCAATGCTCAATTTCCTCTTTCACATACACAGAAACGGACTTCTTAACTTGCATTGACTGAACACAGTTATTCTTGTAAAGTGCTTTCCACCTTGATAATAACTGCTTCGCTTTCTTTTTCAACCCTCCTGAAGGGCAGCTCTTGAGTACTCTGTATACAGCCTTGGCAACTTCTGTCCCCTGAAGATATTCTACAGTCATATCAACATCTTCAAGTTCTTTAAGATGATCCTCAATATCTTGCAAATTGTTCTCAGACAGTAGTTTTTCAATACAATGGGTTCTGTGTACAATACTTTTCTGATCAGACATTTTTAAACCTGAAAGTCAAAAAAATCATCACATTTACTGTATTTATGACATTAATTCATCTTCTGTATATTCACACAACGTCTTCTTTTTCATTTTATGTTATTTTACACTATTTTATTTGTAGATATCACTGGTTTTGCCACCATTTTCTTGAAATTGTGTACAGAAGAATTAGTGAAGCAAATGCAAAATGCAGGGGGAGCTCAGGTCCTGGAAAAATGCAAATGGACAAGCTAGTCCAACTCATTCCAGAAAAATACTGTCAGACAGGAGAGCCCAGAGGGACTTCTGCTGGGGTAGGCGAGTATAAATGAACTCAGTAAAAGGCACAATGACACAGAATAATAGAAAAATCAAAGTGGGCCCAAACCCTTCACATTGTAAGGTGCTTTTTTTGGCTGCTGTTTTTTGGGGACTGCATGTTTAGTTTTACTTTTGATTTTGGTTTTTTAAATTAGTCATTCCTATAAATATACATTAAGTTAATTTTTTCTTCACAAATTCTTATAACAAATGCTGCAATGTTTGGCTATCTGTAGTTTTGTTTCAGTGAAATCTGCAAGTTTCCGCCTGGTTTCTCATAAGAAATCCTTTAGATAAATTCAAATACATAGGATTTGGCATTAGAAGACTAACTTGAAATAGGAAGCAAGGTTTATCATAGCTATGTTTTCCGCAAATTTATTTGGTTTTGCCAGTGTATGTTGTAGCTTGTGCAATTGTCTCACTGATAAGTGTAGAAAATAGTCATATGCATAAAGAATGACCCAGAAAACATAAAGTTAGAAAGTTTAAGAGAATTTGCACAGTCACATTGTTTTAGGTAAAATTTTAACTTCTATAGCAGATAGATGATATACCTGTGATTTTTGGTTTTTTCATTTCACACTTTTTCCTCAAGTCTTTGTTACTTCAAAAGAATAAAATTAACCAGTTAATGAGGACTTGGCATCTGACCAAAAATTACTGACCTAAATGAGTTTTTCAAGTACCTAATGGAGATGTCAGAGTTTTCAGGCCATTGGAGTACTTTTTTGTCACCAGAACTTGATGTTAGGGATTTCTTCAATTAGTGAACAGCAAGTAGGTGAACACATTTTATTGGGAGCTGCAAACTCAAGTTTTGCGGTTACTCTGCAGCAAGTTTAAGTAAGTGAACTGACATAAATCAGTGAAACTTCAGCCCAAAACACCATTCTGGTTCCTACATGATCCTCTACTTTTCACTTGCTATGCTATATCTCTTCCTAAAGTTTCTCTTTATAGGTGTTATCAGAGAAACAATTCAAAGTAGTAAACTTCTAACTCATGTCCCCACCGCCACCTTTCTCTTGCTAGCTCTGGCTTCATATTACAGTTGGATTATCAGGATAGGGAAGCTTAAAAACAGTGACACCAGCAAAAGTTTCAAAACTATGACATCTATCAATTTTGAAAATTTTTAAAAGTTAAAGGCACATCCCTCTATTTCCTTTCAGCTGTAGCATTATTAAAGCATGCTCCCATATATTCCAATCTGTAAAGGAAAACAAAAGGGTGTTTTCAGAATGCAAAGTCTCATGGCTTGAATAAGATTTCCTTTTGATTTGTTTGCAACAAGTCCTTTGACCAAAAAATGCTCAGTGCATTGTTATTGTAAATTTACACACAAAAATATGTTGATATTACTAATGTTATTCTTCTGCTTGCTGAAAAGGAGAATTAAATGTAGAATGCAGAAAGGGATGGTGTGTTAAGTGTTCCTCTTTTCTGCAGTTAGCCTTCTAAATTTATGCACAAAATCAGTGTTTTGTCTGAAATTGCATACCTCCTGATTCTACTCTAGAAAAAGTCATCTGCCTGACAGAGGCAAGGCTAGCTACACACATCCATATGCAAAAGAGCTCATAAGCAGGGTTCTCGCAGGATCACTGTTTTCAGGATGAAAACTCCTGAGGACGGAGGTAGAGGAGGGACAAGTGATACAGCTGGGGAATGCGCACGCTCTGTTGCTCTCTATGACCACCAGCCTTACAAAGAAATTACCACACACAAAGTGCTCTGCTGATGATCTGTCTATGCATATACTTTTACCTGTGACAAAGGCGAGGTATTTTGATCTTTCATTGAGGACTATGCTTCATAGAAAGTTTCCTCTCTAATATTGCAGGGTGAACATCAGTATGTAAGAAATTGTGCATGGAGCCCATGGATATCACCTGCTTCACGGTAGTGGTCCTTGCTCACAGTGCAAGGTGCATCCACCTGACCCTTGGAAGCCCACCAGGGTGGCAAGGTTCTACCTAAGGACATTTACACTACGGAAATTATGAGATTAGCTCAGTTGGTTAGAACATGTTGCTAACAGCACCAAGGTGGCAGGTTTGATCCCCACATGGGCCATTCACTTAAGAGTTGGACTTGATGATCCTTGTGGGTCCCTTCCAATTCAGAATATTCTGTGATTAGAAATTTTAAATCTTCTTAGTCATGCATTGACCTTTACAAGTTTATGCAGCACTACATTTAAGTTCATAAATATTATAGCAGGAGTTAAGTAAACAAACTGAAAACAGAATATGGACATCAAATTACGAACAATTATTTTAAAATAATTTTGGAAATTAAACCACCTAACAGACTGTTCACATTTAAGTCAAAACAGTCACTTCTAAGGGAATGCTTCCGTCAACATGTACAACTTTATATGAGGTGGGACTGAATGACTCCCTTCAAACTTACTAACCAAAGCTAGGTAAAAGTAACAGAAAAAGTAAGTAATCAAAAATATGACAAGAACAGAATTAAATCCATAAATAAATATTGTAATGGAGTGGGATATTCACTTGTAAATGGCAGAAGCAGCCAGCAGAGAAACCATTGAATAAAGGTAAAAAATCAATGACACCAGAAAGATTTCTGAAGGGAAAATATCCTTGGAATGGCCCTGGCTTTGTTGTGTGTACCTAGTTTGCAAAAGATTTTAAGATCTTTCAATATACACTTCTGAAGTATTACACTAACTATTAAAATATTACACTAACTACTCGAGTATAAGCTTCATCTGTTTCCAAATTAAAAGGAAGTGTAGTGAAAAAAAAGTTGTGCATTTTTGCCCTATAAATCAAGGAAGGACTGGACTGATCACCAAGGTTGAGACAGACCATTGTTTTATACAATCAGAAATTAAACAGAGACTCCTGAACTTATAAGGAAATATATAAGGTAATCAAATGTGATTAGAATTTTTAAATCTTCTTAGTCATGCATTGACCTTTACAAGTTTATGCAGCACTACATTTAAGTTCATAAATATTATAGATAAATAAATAAATATTAGATAAATAAATATAGATAAATAAATAAATATAGATAAATATATATAAATATTCATTCAAAGGATGAAGCAAAGCTCATTACTACTGGGAACCCTGTGTACCATTTCATATTAAGTCCAAATCAAGCACCAATTCTGCTTTTCTAATCAATACACAACATGACTACGTCAAACAACTGTAGAAAACATGTTTTTCACATTCTTATATGGAGAAGTAAGAAATCACTGAGGCTGTGGTAATACTGCAGTGTATTTTCTAGCTGAAGTTCACTGGGAACCCAAGCATAGCAAGCCTGAGTTCTTCCCTTTTCCATTTGCAATTCCATATGGAAAATTATTCTACCACTTGAGGGAGCTGTAGCATAGAAAACCCATGGAATCTTGTGCAATGTGCATAATGAGAAACTCCAGCCTGCGAAAAAAAAAAAACCAAACCGAAACAAAACAATTTCCCTATGATCTTCAGGAGACTTCACATTTTTATGATACCTATTTGTCTAATTCTGGCAAAAAAACCCTGTAGAGTCCATAGCTGCTGGGATACAGACAGGAAGGAAAGGATGGACCCCTTATCCAGCCATTGTCCTTTACATTGCTCTTTCATTTGACTTTTTAAATTTAGAGTTTGACTGCTTTTCTACCTGATTCACTGCAATTTGACAAATGCTGCTGAACAAATATTTATAAAATTAACTGAATTGCACTCAGTCAGCACTGTTCTGCTGTCTTCCTAGTTCCAAGGGACAAGAAATCCAAGCAAAACTATTTTCTTTCTTAAGTTATTAAATGAATCATGCACCTTTGTTAAGGCAGGGATGTAAGAAAGAAAAAATGTGTCACAATTTTGTGCAGTACAACGGAAACTTTCTCACCCCTACCACAGCTACACAAGACATTTCATTTAAGCAACGCACAGAATCACATAATCAGAGAATGGTTTGGCTTGGAAGGGACCTAAAGGTCATCTAGTTCCAAGCCCCCTGTCATAGGCAGGGATGCTATTTACTAGACCAGGTTGCTCAGAGCCCTATCCTGGCCTTGGACACTCCCAGGGATGGGGTATCCACTACTTCTATGGGCAACTTGTTCCAGTGCCTCACCACCCTCTGAGTAAAGACTGTTGCCATCACTCCATCACAGGCCACCAGACTGGTCAGGTATGACTCACCCTCAGTAAAACTGTGCTGGCTACCTCGAATTGCCTCCTTGTCTTTTATGTCCCTTGGCATATCTTCTGGGAGGATCTTCACATGCACAGAGGTGAGGTTCACTGGTCTGTAGTCCCCTGGATCTTTCTTTCTCCCCCTTTTTAAAAATGGGGGTGATGTTTTCCCCTTTTCCCTTTTTCCAGTCACCAGGGACTTCACCTGACCACTGTGGCTTTCCAAATATGCATAAGAACATCTGCTTGAAATCCAAGAGTATATTGAAGGTTACAAGCTAAAGATTGGCTCATGTTTACAATAAGACTCTGTAATGACATGCTGATGAAGCACTTTCATTAAGAGTTTTAACTCTGACTGCACAGTATTATGAGTCACTTGTGTGTACGAGAATAAATTATGAAAATCAATAAAAATCTTGTAAGTCAGTTTGCTCCCAAAAAGACAAAAAAAGATTAGGCTACCTCAGGTTTACAATATGGCCATCCTGTAATAATGCCAAGTTGAATCAGAACATTTTTTAACAGTATTATGACTAAGTAGGAGAAAACAAAAAAACAAACAAAAAAAAAAAGCCCAGCCTAAGACACTTGCTGCTAACTGCAAAGTCAGTCCCTGGGAAAAACACTGGCCTCTACAAAACCATTTGAGGTAAATGCCTTGTCTTTGCTATACACCTTATCTAGTGCAAAGCCATAGTCTATTTTGTCTTAGCACGGACAACCCAGAAAACCCAAGACAAACTCAGAATGCATCCAAGTAAATGGGTATGAATATCTTGGAAGAGTGAACACCAGTTCTCCCTCATCCCATCCTCAGAAGAAAATCCAAACCACAGCCAACACAAGGATCAGAAGTCAAGTACACCTAATGGCATAAATTTTCTGAAAAAAATGTGGTAATGCTATAGCAGAGATGATACATAGGACAGTCCTGGAAACACAGGCTTACTTTGGGCAACCTAAATTCCATATAAACCATAAAAAATTATCAGTGCTATTTTAAATTCAAGAGTCTACACAGAAATCAGAGAATTCTCACAGCCAGCTTCCAGACCCAAAAACATTCCTTCATCCCATCTGCAGCGGGAGAGCAGATTTCAAAGATGTCACCAAGAAACCATTTACTGGGGCTTTTATTTCATCTTGGCAAAAATCAGAGCTCTTCCTGCCTCTCAGCAGGACTGCCTCCCACCCCTAAAAATTCTGAACTAGACAGAAAATCATCTTCAAAGAACAGCCACATGAATAAAGCTCAGTTGATACAGTAAGAACTGAGGCAACACAACAGCATAATTGCCAGCTGTCCATGACCACTGACACCTCACTGACCAAGAGAGTCACCTCTCAGTCACAAATGCAGAGGCAGCGGAGTGCACAGCACTATGAAAGAGAAATAGCTTTGTTCTGTATCTTTTACATCAGTGACTGCTTCAACTACAGCGCTTTTAACTAATCTGAAGCTGTATTGTCTCTGTCCCCTGTTTCTCTCACTGAAGTCACTCTCCCACAGCTTTCTTCCTAAACCAGGGAGTTTGCAGGGGAGAAATGGCAGAGTGCATCACATTCATGTGAAGATGTACACAGTAGCCTCTTCTACAAGACAGATTTTTAATCTGGATTTGGAGTTCCTTCTCCCAGAACCCCCATTTTTAATTAAAATAGAATTCTTATTTTCTTAAAAAAAAAAAAAAAAGGGAAATTAAAAGATAAAACAATCAATAGAGTGCATAATGAAATTCTCAAGCCTCAGGGATCAATTCCAAACTAGAGCTGTCAGCACATTTTTCTAATAAGATCAAACAAACATGCATGGATTTAATGAGATAGGAAAAGCTGTTGTCCTTACCAGACTGCTTAGCCACTGGCTTCGTTTGACATCAGCCAGAGCTCAGGAAAAGGCTCAGAATATTACAGCTACACCAGAGGAATAACACCCTCACTTGTTCCACAACACAAATTACTAGACGAGAAAATTCTTTACAAATTGAACAGCTACAGCTATTTTGAGTTCTAGTTGATGTTTGAGTGGGCACACACATCCCAGCAGAGACGTTACCTCGCTAATGGCTTCTCTTAATTTACTTCAGAATTAAATTGATTCTCACTAGAAGATGTTTTAGCTTTTCCTATATCCTAGCTGTGGAATTCTTCTACTGATTTAAGTACTTAACTAGTTGAAACCCTGAAAATGTTAAAAGTAATGCATTATTCCACTGATATCTTTATTTGATCTTCTTAATAAAATACTTTTAAGGAGTTAAAAATTACTAAATTTACTTTTAACAAGTTACAGATTACAAGTATTGAGTGGAGTTATGAGCTAATCTCTTCCACAATAGGACAGCTATACAGACTCACAATTCATTCCAATATATTCTGACTCAATATAGCAATAATAAAATGTTAATATAGTTCTGAGATATTTTTTTTATCAACAGTTTCATTGGAAATTATGTATAAATAATGTGTGCTTCTATTTGCTTTAAAATTTGCAGCATTTCACATACAGAAACACTTGCTTGGTTTCTCTAATCTACAACCAGATTATTTTTCAGTATCCACTAACTTTATTCTACATCCCATTTCCTAGTTTGGGCACAAGGTCACAGAAATGTTCCACTGGGTTATCTGGTTTTCCAAATTTTCATGACAAAGACTTCTCACAGCTGGCAGAGAAATCCCTTTTCTCTCAGCGTCTTTCCAGTGCTTGTCAGTATGAGGTACTAGCTGGGGCTTCAAGCAGGTCAAAAGTCAGGCTTTTGACACACAGGGTACATTTTCAAAATGTGAACTTCCACTGCGGCCACAAGTGCCAAATACACATCAGAAGAGTGTTGAATGAAACTAAAACAGATGACTCAGGCATGAATCTATGTTACCTAGCTATGGAAAAGACACAGATTGTGACAGATGTATTTTGCACTCATTAAGGTGACCTGCTATAGTGCAGTTTATCACAGGATTCAGGCTTTTTGTGGGGCTGCACATAATATTTCAAAAATCATATAATATTTTTTGTGATTATAAATTAACAGTCTCCTGCAAACTAAAGACTAATGCTTATCATCTGCACAAAAAAAAACAAGCTTGTTAGAAATACCTCTAGAATTTTCCCAACTTGCCTCTATCATGAAGAGCAAACCTTAAGCTGGGACAAGCAACAAATGATAATACTATTCCTGTAACATCACCTGACTCAGTACCCAACCAAGACTTCATGGTGTGAAAAATTTTTTTTGCACTTTGTGAAATCATTGCTCCATTTCCAAACATTCATGTTTTTACAACAGTAACAGATTTTAAAACAAAAAATAATTATTATTGTTAAATCCGACAGACAATATGAAAAATATTTCACTATTTTCCCACAGCAAGAGGATGCTATAAACATTCTTCCTCACTCAAGAAACCTATCTGGCAATAGAAATATGATCTAAGAAGCTTTGCGTAATTGTTTACTAATTAACTACTTTTATCCAATATAGCTTAGTCTCTTAAACTGTTCATCTGGATGGATGCGAATGTTCATATCCATATTTCACAGAATCACAGAACATGCTGAGTTGGAAGGGACTCACAAGGATCATCAAGTCCAGCCCTTAGCTCTGCACAGGACTATCCCCGAAAGTCACACCACATGCCCAAGACTATTGTCCAAATGCTTCTTGAACTCTGTCAGTGCTTCCCTGGGGAGCCTGTTCCAGTGCCCAACCACCCTCAGGGTGAAGAACATTTTTTTAATATCCAATGTAAACCTCCCCTGACACAACTTCAGGCCATTCCCTCAGGTCCTGTCACCAGTCACACAGAGCAGAGATCAATGCCTGCCCCTCCTCTTCTCCTCATGAGGAAGCTGTAAACTGCAATGACGTCTCTCCTCAGTCTTCTCCAGGCAAACCAGCCAAAGAATTTCAGGAAGGCTGTGATACCTTTAAAGTGGAAGCTGGTTTCTTCAACATATATAAACCATATTGACTTACACAGGTAACAGTTCAGGAAGTATGTGCGCGCTCTCTCTCTCTGAAGACCACTGGGATTGCATCAGACATCTGGTCTGCTCCCTCTACTCAGTGTCTGCACAAAAGAAGCATTCATAACAATGTCCTCCCAACACTGGGAAATCATAATTCAGAATTCCCAATACACTGAGATTGGCTTATACACCATAATGCTTTCAGAAGTAAAAAACTGGGAACTCTTCTACATTTCTTCTAAGGCTGTAAGTCTCTAGTGTTGCCATCTTTCCACTACAGATAAAATCACTAAGAGTTTACTTTTTTGAAAAAAATATATAAATCAGAGTTTTACATGTTCTATCATAACTGCAAAAGACAGACAATTCTTTCCTTATTTTCCCTTAACGATGTTACCAGTCATGTTTGTGCTTGGTATTAGACTTTAGATATTCCTCCACTATTTTGTATCTTCCTCTGGAATTTCTTGTTCAATTAGAATTAATAGCATTAATTTTTTAAACCTACCAAAGAGAAGAACATGTTGTGAAGTGCAGGTTTAACACTGGTTTTTAAGTGGCAGATGTTTTTACAGTCCTCAAAAATATTGCTTGTATCCCCTTGCAGATGTCCAGGATGTCTGAAACCTGGACAACTTCAACCTACATGAAGCTTTCCTAAGGTGGATCCTTTCAGCTAGCTTTTGCACTGGCACAAAAGTCCAACAAAACAGACTGGCTCAAATTTAGGAGCCTAAATAAACAAGTAAAAATGTACTTAAGATGCATCTATCCAAAGTATATTTGTTCACTTAATACTTTAGAAAGAAAACATGAATCATTTTGGAGAGGAACAAGCAATTCTTTCTCTGGAACACATTTCTTTGATAAAATAGCTTTAAAGATTATTCTTATATAGAGCTAGCAAGGACTTCAATTCTAGCACGCTACGAGTAAAAGTAAATGTTCAGTCTCCAATGTCTTTTTATGGATAACTGTGCTGACAAATTCATATTAAAATGGAACATGTAAATAATAAAAACATGCTTTATTTATAAACTTCTGTGAGTTTTTCATCATTTTTCAGATGAACACCAACATTTTATTGCTTTAATGTTCATTTTTTAAGTTAAGCATCAGCTCTATACTATTTCTATTTGTCATTCCATTGCCAGGGCCATACTTAGATTAGATACCAGTTTATCATTCTTTTACAGGTTTTCCATTGAAAATTTATATAACTTTTTTCCTTCAAAAACAAATCCTTTGTATGCAGAAGAGAACATATGTTCCTGACCCCTCTACAGAGATACTGTGATATAATCAAAAGGTATTTGTAAGATATTAGTGTCTGCTAAAATTCTTTCTGCTATAATATGAATAATTAAGATATAATTTCAGTCTTGATCAAGACACCTGAGGTACTGGTTGAAATTAAGTGAAATACACTTGAAATGAAGAGTGGGTTTATTTATTTAACTATTAAATGTACTACACTGAAAAGTGCAAAGTCTCTAATTCCCTTCTATATTTATGCCAGCATGTCTTACCTCAAGACATCAAAGCTGCATAGCGACCAACATAAAAAATACTTTAAAATTCCCATAACAGTACTATTGCTGCATTTTTCAAGGTCAGCCCCTTCTGTAGAGTGGAATTATAGGCACTTTTGATATAAATCAGAAGGATAATACCAGCAGCAAGGAGCAGCAGCCCAGTGTGTATTTGTCAGGAAGCAGCTGAAGCCAGCAGCAGCGACACCTTGTCTGGCCAAGGTTTGGGGTCGGACTCACAGCACCAGTAGCTGAGCATCATCGTCATAATCCCCATCTTGATCACTGGCCCAAGAAACCTGGTGGGGATCAGCCTGAAAATAAGCCAGCAGTTGCTCCCACAAAATGGGTGGGCCAGTGAACATGATAACTGATCCATAATACCACTAACTCTGTGTTTTTTCTCCAAATCCTTCATTAAAACTTCACAGAATCAATTAAGTTGTAAAAGACCTTTGAGATCATCCAGTCCAACCTATGACAGAACACCACCTTGCCAACTAGGCCATGGCACTGAATGCCACGTCCAATCTTTCCTCACACACCTGCAGGGATGGTGACTCCACCACCTCCATGGGCTGTCCATTGCATTGTCTAATCACCCTGTGAATAAATTCTTCCCAATGTCCAGCCTAAACCTCCCTGGCTCCTCATGCCCGTTCCTACTAAACATCTTTGGACCCCTCTAGCTGGAGTTTGACTGTCTTGCTCGGGGCCCACATGCTGCCTCTTCTCGGATCCCTGGCACGGCGCGGGCACAGGAGGAAAAGCAAGCACGGCCCTGCCTACCGAACCCTGCTTCCCAGGGAGCTGTTACCGCTGTTACCCGCTCCCCCTCGGCCCCCTCGGGCCAGCCGGAGCCTGCCCCGTGCTGAAGGGCAAACCGGCGGTGGGGACCAGCGGGACGGTTCGTGTCTCCCGGGGCTCTCCCCGCCCCTCACCCCCAGCGCCAGGGCACGGGGCAGCGGCTCCCCGGACATCACGGAAGAGGGGAAGCCGCACTCCCGTTAGCCCCGGCCAAACAAACACACAGCGCTGCCCCCGCACCCCCCGTGCCCCGGCAGCAGAGCCGGCGCCCTCACCTCCGCAGCGGGGCTCGATATGGCGCCTCCCGCCCGGCCCCTGCTCCGCCGCCATGTCCGCGGGCTGGGAGCGGCTGCGCGCTGGGCCCGCAGTGCCGGAGCGCTGCAGGACTGCGGGCTCGGGCGGCCCCGCTGGGGGCGGGAGGTGCCCCCAGGAAAAGAGGGCACGTCCCTAAGTATCAGAAATAGTGTGGCCAGCAGGACCAGGGAATTATTTGTCTCTTTGTACTCGGCAGTGGTGAGGCCGCACCTCCGTCCAGTTCCGGGCGCCTTAACTCAAGAAGGACACTGAGGTGCTGGAGCGAGTCCAGAGAAGGGCACTGGAGCTGGTGAAGTCTGGAGCACAAGTCCTATACGGAGCTGGGGTTATTTAGCCTGGAGAGGAGGAGGC